GGGGGGAAGCAATTCCCAACTAGGTTCTGGAAATTTTATGGCATGCATGGTGAAGGTCAATGGAGTCTTCCCTTTAGGAAAAGTTCATGGAGTCTTCAAAAGGTTTTCTCTTATCTTTTTAACTATCACACCCCAAGGGCAGGCTTTTTAATTTAATGGGAGGCCGATCTTCAGACCCAGCCACACCAAGAGCATGGTGGTATCTGGTAGTAGAACGGTACTTTGGCTAGAAGAGCCAACATTACAAGCCAACAGGGTCTTGTATGTCAAGGGGAATAGCCAAGTGCCTGGATCCTGCCAGCCAATCTGATTCCATCCACTTCTCCAACAAAGAGTAGACAGAGAAAGGAGGGAGGCTCGGACTGGTTGCATCCTATAGCACAGACAGGTCCACTTCATGAAAGTTGGGAGTCCAAATTTGATGGATGACGAGATAAAGCCTTGGCTGGACCCATAGATCTATCCTAGCCTGCTGTAGGTCCATAGCTAGATCCTTATTAATGTTACCGCTGAAGGAAGAACGGCTTTAAAACCTTTAGTCTTCCGGTAAACGGGTGATTTTAAGGGGAGGTTTATGGTTAGGTACCATAAATAGCACCATCCTTTTATACATAGGGGTTCCGGTAAGGAGTGCAGCAGTTCCTCTCAAAGATCGCAGACCAATGTACCACAAGCTTTGTTAGCCTCCCTGGATCTAGGACTCGACTTTGGTACAGTTGTCCTCCTCCCCCCGTCCACTCTTGAGAAAGTCTAAAACAATCTGCTTTTTCTTTTTTTTTGTTCCTTACGAAATAATGTGTATGACGTCACGACATTCCACACAGAATAATAATTTGTCAAGAGAAAAGACAAATATTTAGTCATCCAAATATGTGAAGTATCTTTTTTTGTTTTCCTGTCGAATATACACAATCTTTGCCTTCAGACGCGAGGCTCCGTTCTAGCCATTCCATCCATCCATGGTCGTGATTGAGGACAGATGCATGGCCACCATGACCCATCGTGTACCATTTCGTCAGCT